TTCTGTCAGGTAAAAATCAAAGTGGAACTGCTACATCAAAGGATATATGCACATTAAAATTTGATTTTTCTGATTACACAAACACAAATATAGAAGAGTTATTTATTTCCCTACCTTCACAAACACTGGATGTTAAGACAGGAACTACAGTATTCCATCCCCCAAATATCTCTTACCGGCTAGAAGCTTTTCCATTTCTCCCTTTCTCATGGTTGCGGTATATGGCTCATAAATTCATTTTGTTTGGTGACTGATATATATACAAAATAGATTTCCTATTCCTAGCCCTCCATGTAAAAGCTTGGTGTTGACTCTAAGTAAGTCACTCTCCCTCAGAGTCCTAAGCAACTTGTGATTCCATATATTAATCTTTAATTCTTATAAAGAGAGAAAGGCACACAATCTAAAATTTCATTTAAGGTCAATAGTAATGGAGAAGAGATTATTCCACTATCTGTTGATGCCTTTATTTTCTTAAAGAACGAAAATAAAATTAAATGAAAACTAGGCAAGCTTCAAATTCAAACTGGTACTGTGTACTGTGTTCCACTGTTGGCAGGAAAAAGAAAAAAAGGAAGATACTAAACTTTAAGAATCCTACATGCTAAGATGTTGTCTGACTTCAACAATCTACACAACTTATACATAATCTCTAAGATTTTAATCAGCAACTGAAGATACTTCTTTCAGCTGGATTAAGAAAGCTCCTCATCTCGGAGATGAAGAGACAATGTAGAGGCAGCATCACATTGTTTAAACCAAGAAATGTTAACTATAAACTGCGGTTGCAGCCAGCCTTCTATGAAGCAATAAAAGTGATTATGGTGATGATAATGATTATACTCTGGAATCCTAACCTAAAAATTGTTTAAAAGGAAAAGAATGTAAAGCTTTCTCTGAAGCACCCTGCCACTAAGAGACTGCTTGGAGGCCAGAGCTGCTGCCGTTGCACCAGAAGAACATGAAAAAGCAGAGCGACTCGGTTAAGGGAAAGCGCCAAGCGCCAAGCGCCAAGACGGGCTTTCTGCTGCCGCCCACAAGCAGAGGGACTCTGAGACGATGCAGCAGAAGCAGAAAAAGGCAAATGAGAAGAAGGAGGAACCCAAGTAGCTTTGTGGCTTCGTGTCCAACCCTCTTGCCCTTCGCCTGTGTGCCTGAAGCCAGTCCCACCACACTAGCATTTCTCCTGTGGTGCTCATTCCCTTTGCCCTGAGTTTGCAGCGCGGCCCTTTTGTGCTTCCTTCCCCTCAGGTAGCCTCTCTCCCCCTGGGTCACTCCTGGGGGTGAGGGGGTTACCCCTTCCCAGTGTTTCTGATTCCTGTGGGGCTCACCATAAAGTATTAAAAGTAGCTTTGTAATTCCAAAAAAAAGAGAGAGACTGCTTGAATACTGTGCATCTGTATCTTTAAGACCTATCCTACTACTGATATTAAATTCAGGTTCTGTGAGAGTTCCTCTGGATTTTTAAAAAAAAGCATAGTCAAAGTTCAGCAACGAGGTAAACAGGCTCACCACTGATGTTCTGAGGAAAAGCCAGGTCTAATGACATGGATATAATGGCTTCTCTACCACCACTCACTCACTCCTCATAGCAAGACTAGTCCAAAAACCCTTACTATGGAACAAATTGAGGCCAATAATCGAAGGGTACCTAAAGAAATGCTTTTAAGACACAATGAAGCATAACTTCAAAGGCTGTAATCCAGACCCCAATGTTGGCAAGCAGGAAAAGATTGGCTCTGTTTAAATATGACTAACTAGCTGCACCAGAAGCTGGGAAGAGGCATTAATCATTACACATACAATGCTGTAATTAGCAGCTTTTAAAAGCCAAGCTTTGTGTGTGCAAGATGAGGAAAAACTGACATTTGACCACACATCCCAAACCTCAGGCACCCAATCAAGCAGGTAGTTTCCACTCACTACGTATATTTTTCTAACACTGTAACATCATCTTTTAGTATAATAGCATAGTTTATATGCTTAACTCAGTTTTTAATCTAGTTCTGCTCGTTTGACTTAGAAAAGTTACGTGAAAAAATGAAAAATCAAAGAGCCTATCTATTCAATAGCTTCCTTTCTGTCTCTGATACCTTTTAACACTTAAGGCATGTATAGCATCATAATACTGTATATCTGCAGCCACGTGACCTGGGTCCAGTTTCTGAACCTACCATTTAAAAGCTGTGAGACTGACAAATTACTTAACTTTTTTGTGCTTCAGTTTCCTCATCTGTAAAATGGGGATTATAAAAGAACCTAAAAGTTCAACAAATGTTAGAACTTTTAAAAAGCCAAGTTCAATAAATATGGACTCTATATAACTGAATATAGTATTTTATATATATGTATATGCATATCTATATGTGTATGTATAAAAATATGTGACAGGTCTAACAGCTGGCATAATAATAAATTTTACAGTGTTTCGTTGCATATGCAGCATGTAATCTATTATTAATGACCTAAGACACTGTGCATGAAGTAGGCTGCCTCACCCTTTCCCCCCGAAAAATGTTCCAAAGGAATTCTCATGTTCAAGTCCTGTCTATCTCACAAACAAGAGATGAATCACTAACTCTACCGAAAACTGTCCTGGTCCTATTCTTTCTCTTCCAGTGGAATCAGAAGGAAGAGCTGTCTCCCTGCCACTTTGAGAAGCTTGTCATACCCAGTTAGTTATTACAGCTCACAAACTACAAAGGCCCTAGGGAATGCCTCAGTTAGGTTTTCTATGTTCCATACATCACCAAGGAAATTCTGGGCACTTCATAATGTTCCTGAGAATAAAAAGCCAGTATTCATCAAATTACCCCTCTTTGCTGCCAAAGAACAATGGGACTTCAGTAATTTTTTCCTGTTATAGCACAAATAGATAGGGCATGACTTCAACATGAGCAGAATGTCAGGATCACTCCAACGTGCACTTGTTCTCCATCAGCATGAGTGAGGGCTGGTTAGCGCAGCTCCATGCTTTGGCCAGAGACTGCCCCTGATTCCATTCAGCTGTTTGGCTCTGCCTGCATCTCCCTCAGCTTGAAGAACAAAAAAACCAAAAGCCTCAAATGCCTGTATCTCTTCCTCATAATTCAAAAGAATCGTCACCAGTTAAACTCCTTGCATTTACAAGCCAGGGACCTTGTCTCATTCATCAAGCCATTAGTAAGCTCCCTAACTGAGAATATACTCAGGAAATGTGTTTAACATGACTGAATCATCATGTATTCTATGTAATTTCTATGTTCAACATAAGAGGGTCTTGAAAATTACATTTTAATATACTCTCTCAGTCCGTATGGAAGATGAGAAATATATCACTAGTTTTACCATTCCAAGCAATCTGTTAAAAGAAACCAACATTACTTATAAACAGATTCCAAGCTATCAGGAGGGTAAATTAAAAATATACTTGTGTGTTTTGAATACATCTTTAAAACCATTTGTCAGATTCTTCTGCTGGCAAGATTCTTATGACTGGCCACATAACTTCTTGGGTTTAAAGTGAATCTTTATGTTCTAGCTTCTTCCAATTAAATAATAAATGCATATGGCTCTTCAATATTTATTAGTTACATACATCTTTAAGAAAATTACAGAATATGCTTTCATGTTTTATCTCTTTAAGCAAAAAGTAACTTCCTTTCCTACTTCTTGAAATAACCCCTATTTGTAGGGGAAGTGACTGTTTCCACATTACTTGGCCTGATTATTTTTCCCAGTAAAAGACCTAAGTCACACAGAATATACTAACTCTAGCCAATCTAAATACAGTGTCCCTTAAAAAACCTAAGTAAAGCAAGAATATGATGTTCACTACTGAGGGGGATCAAGTTATTTCTGAAAAGATTTGCAGGAAAAGGAATTCTGGTATCCTTGTCATACATTTCCTGCCTTAGAAAATAAAATCTCTGTGTCTACTTCCGAACCAAATCAGAGCTTTAGGAAGTCTCCAAACCGGTTCTGAGCCCAAAATAGAGAGACTTATATCAACATTCAAAGCTAAAGAGAAGGGGCCAATTTGTTGAAATACACAGTTAATATGTTCAATTGAAAAAAGTTAATGTGTTTTGGCAGTATGTTTTGTTTCCGTATATAAAGTGTTTTTAAGACAATTATGAGTACTGAAGAACTGAATAAAAGCAGGAAAGATTGTGAACAAAAGTTGAAGGAACTTCTTTAACGTGAGGGAACAAAACACTGCATCCCCCACATCCATGACCCTGGACACATGCTGCTCCCTGCACAAACCCTTGCTCGCCTGTTCCCTTTACCTGAAACACGCCCCACAGTCTCTCGAAGGTTGAGTAAATGCCAACCCCTTCTGAAGTTTTCCTGACACCAAGTAAATGCCTGTCTTTTGAGTTCAAATATTTTGTCACACCTTCAAATAAGATGCACCTATTACAGACAGCACCGAGAAAGAGCTCACCTGGATATATACTTAAATCTTACTACCACCAGATCATAAAAGACCATCCCATTCTCCTAAAACTACAAACCAGGAACTGGATTTCACTTCTACATCCCACCAATGCACAGAGCAGATGCAAGCTGAGTAATGAAGAATATTAAGTTTTCATCCCACCGGTCCCCCCAAAAAACAAATAAGTAAAAAGTCTTATATCCTATAAGGTCAATAGACATCTGCCTGGGAACCCAATCTTGGGATCTAGTTCTTGGATCTTAATAACTATAAAACTTTTTAGGAATCTGAAGAGGACCAACATTTCCCAAAATGGAAGTATATTAGAAAAGTCTCTATTAAAACAAAGCTAACATGGTTACTTTACTACAGAACACTTGCAGGGCTTTAAAATGTTAATATACACTATGGATTTCCAAGATAAGATTACATAATAAAGCCTTTAGTGAACTCATTTGAGCAAGATTGTCAGGAGAGTTTGGAAAATGCTTCAAAAAGGTTGTTTTAGTTTTTTTTTTTCCCCTCAATTGTCACAATGTTACTGAGTACTTCAAATCAACTTCTAAAAAGTTCTTACCTGATATGTGTTGCAGGCAGAGATTCATACTGGCGTGACAAAAAGAGTTCCCTATGTTTCAGCTGATGTTTCTGTTTATCGGTCAAGTCAGCCTCAATTGTTGTTTCAGATTCTTCCTCAATTTCTTCTACAAAAATAAAATTCAAAAAATTCATTACTACAAAGCACACTATCCATTTGGTTATTAAGACAGATCAAATCAGCCTTTATTCACTATTTTCTTCAAACTAATTGATTTTAAATTTATATATTTAACTTGCTACTCGAATTACAACCATAAAATTAAGTTACCAGACCTCAAAGGAAGAGGAAGAACTCCAATTTTAAAATGGCAGATGGAACATATGCATATATTTCCTCTTCCCCATGAAACCACACCAAAATAGCAACTAAAATGTATTAACATTTCAATGACAATGAAAAATGAAGCAACAATGGAAGAAACATTTATTTTTTTAAGTTTTAGATTAAAAAAAGTTTTAGAAGATGGAAAGCAGACATAAAAAAAAAAGGTACACACTTAGTGAGGAGAAGGAAGTGACAATCTATGTGCATACAGAGAGGGATGCCATGGGGCAGGCAGGCACAGGGGGGTGCACTGACTTAGCCCTTGAAGATGCCAAGTACCCTGGAAAGAAGAGTGGGGTGAGAGCTAAAAAAGAGAAGGAAAGGGCTGAAAGTCTATCTACAACACAATCACTGAATCCCTGAATACTCCATTTAGGAAGAGTATAATCAGAAAACAAGAAACAGGTTAACACATTTCAAAATTAATAACACAAATAAAAAAGTAATAGGAGAATAAGATAATATTACCAAAATCTCCCAAGAATAATAATAATAAAAGGGATAACTTGAAAACCTAAAGACTGAAAACAGAACAATGAATGAGGTCCAACAACCCACTAATAGAAGTCTCAGAAAGAAAAAATAGAGAAAACAGATTCTTTTACTTCTTTTTGGGGGGGAAAGGGATGAGGGAGGACCTATCAAAGAAATGATTCAAGAAAATTTCCCCTTACTGAACAAGATGAGTGTCCAGATTGAATTCCCAACATACTTAATTTTTTTGTTTAAGTAGTAACATGGGAAGATCCCAAACATTCACAGGAAGGAAGTATCGGCACGAGCAAAGAAACCAGAATTAGAGTGGAATCACAGAAGAATAGCAACACTATGTGCTAAGATGGCAGAGCAATGCCATCCAAGATAAAAAGTGATAGTCAACCTAGAACTGCATATTAAGCTATCACATCTGAAAACAGAGTAAGGGCAACCTTCTATTCATTCAATCAAGATTTACAGTCCACCCTTGAACAATGTGAGTTTTAACTGCACAAGTCCACTTACATGTGAATTTTTTTCAATATTGTATTTACAGTACACTGGAAAAATTTCTGGAGATTTGCAACAATTTGAAAAAGGTCAGATAAACCACATAGATCAGAAATATGGAAAAAATTAAGAAAAAGGTATGTCATGAATTCATAAAATAAATGTAGATAATAGTCTATCCTTACAGAGGCATAGAGTGATATTTTATATAAACACTGTGTTAGTTTTCTAATTGCCCTATAACTTTCAAAGAGTTACATTACCATACATTATATTGTGCCTCACTCTCCCTCCCTCTCATAATTGGAAAAACTGCTTTATCAGCCTGCTGGGTTTTTTTTTTTAATGTAAAAATGTTTCCAATAGTGTACTATTTATATGACTGTAATATTATTTATGTGCTATAAAAATTTTTAAATGATTTATTAATTATCACATAGGCTAAGCTATTGTGAAACAATGGTATTTTTACACTAGGCTACCATAAAGAATCATATTGCTACCTCTCCATCATTAATGCATAGATCATTATACCTGTAAATAAATATGAATTTTTCACCTTTTTTTTCATTTTTGATGGCTAGTGTTAGTAATATAGATAACACCTACAGTGTTTTGTATTGTATAAGACAATACTGACATAGGTATTGTCAGACAATTCATAATCAGACAACATAAACTTATGTATCAATAAATACAGCATTGTACTATAAATGTATTTTCTCTTCCTTATGATTTTCTTAATATTTTCTTTTCTCTAGTTACTTTAAGAATACAGTACATAATCCACATAACATACAAAATATGTGTTAATCAACTGTTTATGTTAAGATTTCTGGTCAACAGTAGGCTACTGGTTAAGCTTGGCTGGGGGAAGTCAAGTTATACACAGAATTTCAGCTGTGCAGGGAATCAGCACCCTAACCTCTGCAGTGTTGAAGAGTCAACTGTATTATTAGGCACCAGAACAGGCGCTATCAAGGTGCTGGAGATGATCAGTGAGCAAAAAAGTTACTAATAAGAAGAAAATTCAAAGTGTTTGCCTTTGGGAAGCAGAGTTGGAAGAAACGGACAGGAAAGAGAGGAAGTTTTACCTGAGATTTTTTTTTTAACCCTGCATTTAATACTCTTTTTAAAGGAAAAAAACAAAAACCAAAAAACCGCAGATGTCATTTACAGATAGAATTCCAAATAATTTATAAAATTTTTAAAAATATAAAACCTGTAGAGGCTCACAGATCCTCTGCAGCCTTACCTGGACCAGAGCGGGTAGCTATGGGAATAGCAGGAGCACTGAGAACTCAGTCCAGGAGTGGGCAGCTGGCTTTTCACACAGGAAGTAAAGCCCCAGGTTAGGCCTCAGAGGCCGTAACTTTTGGACACTAACTGGCAACACACACACAGCACATTTCTGTTCCTCACTATTCTTTAAATTTTCTTACATATGGACCCAGGACCACAAAAGAAGTTTTATCATACAGGAGCCCCTCGCTGTAGTTCCTCTGGATCGTGTGAGGGCAATGAATGGGCTAGGTGTCAGGTCTTCTCTACTTTCAAACTTTTAAAACTCTGAATTGAAAATGAACCTGTAAAACTTAGAAACTGATTTAGAAAAAGACACACCAAGCTCAAAAACAGAATAATGTGATTTAAAATTCTCTGAATGTTCTTTATAATGAACTACTCAAAGGGAAGCACAGCGCTACCAGAGCCATTTACTTGCAAGTCTAATAACATTTTACCAGCGGAGACCAATGACGTTATTGCTGCACTGGCACTATTAAAACCAGCAAATACCACATACAAAATTATACTCTTTACCTAATTAGGATTTGATAAATTGCTGTTCCGTAAAATGCAACTAACTGAACTCTAATGTGTACCCTATAGGGCTAAAGCAGCAACAAGCTCTACAAATAATGGTAATAGCAGCCAATCTTGACTAAAATCTCTGAAGTTTAACCTAACCAAACACAGAAATCACCAGAAGAGCATCTGAAACTTTTAAGTTAAATTTCATTTATATACTTGTATACACTTATATTGGCTTCTGAATAGGAATGACTCCCATGCCATTAACATCCTAAACACATAAAATAACCATAATGACAAAAACTGGCATTTAGAAAATAAAAAAATTTAAAAGATCGAATATAGCTATTATCATCAAAAATCATGTCCATGGTAATATATTTATATTATAATGTTTTAAACCATTTTACAAAGCTTGATGAAACATTAAATTTGCCACCTTCTAAAAGTTATTAAAGTAGAAGTCCCATACAAACATCACAATGATAGAAAGACTGATACCAAATTATTTACTGCACTTTCTTTACAGGTGGCAAAGCTTCAGAAAACACAGTTTATTAGCAGTAAGGCATGGGGGGCATGGATGGGAGCAAGAATACAGAAGGAAACTATACTGAGGGAATGTATGAAGATCTAAATAAATGGAAAAACTATGTTCACAGATTGGAAGATTTAATATTGTTAAGATGGCAATACTCCTTCTTATCTACAGATTCAATGCAACCTCTACCAAAATTTCAATTACCTTTTTTGTAAAACTTGGCAAGCTAATCCTAAAATTTGTATGGACATGTAAGCTACCTAGAATAGCCCAAATAATTTTGAAGAAGAAAAAATCTAACAGGACTCATACTTCCAGATTTCAAAGCTTACTTCAAAGCTACAACAACCAAGACTACATGGTATTGAAATAAGGATAGGCACAAATTAAATACAATGTAACTGAGAGTCCAGAAATAAGCCCATAAATTTCTAGTTAAATGATTTTGGAAAAGTGTGCCAAGACAACTCACTGGGGAAATGAATAAAAATGGTGCTAAATAAATCTTCATGATCTTGGGATAGGCAAGTTTCTTCACTATGGCACCCGAAATAAATCATAAGCAACCAAAGAAAAAACAGATAAACTGGAATTAACATTAAAATGTTTGTCCTTAAAAGGATACTCTAAAAAAGGAGACAACCCACAGAACTGGAAAAAATATTTGCAAATCATGTATCTCATAAGGATCTAGTATCCAGGATATATAAAGAACTCTTATAATTCAACAATAAAAGGAAAACCCAATTAAATAATGGGCAATGGATTTGAATAGACATTTCTCCAGAAGATGCACGAAGAGCCAGTAAGTATATGAAAAGATGTTTGACATCATTAGGGAAATGCAAATCAAAACTACAATGAGATTATTTCCTATAGACTAGAATGACTATAATCAAAAAGATAGTAAGCAAAAATGTGGAGAAATTGTAATCTTTGTACATTATTGATGGGAATATCAAATGGTGCAGCTGCATTGTAAAACAGCCCAACAGTTCCTCAAATTGCTAAAAAGAGTTACCATATAACCATGTGATTACATTCCTAGGTCAAGAGAACTGGAAATATGTCAACATGAAAACCTGAACATGAATGTTTATAGTAGCATTACTCATAACTGCCAAAAAATGGAAACAACCCAAATGTCTGATAAATGGATAAAAGAAGGTATATCCATACAATGGGGTATTTATCATTCAGCCATAAAGAGGAAGTAAATGCTGATTCATGCTACAACATGGATGAACCTTGAGACATTATACTAAATGGAACATTACAAAAGTGACAAACACAAAAGGCCACATATTATATGATTCCATTTATCTGAAAAATCCAGAATAGGCAAATCCAGAGAGACAGGAAGTAGACCAGTGGCTGCCAGAGGATAAGTGAACGGGGAAATAGACAAGAGTGACTGCTAATAGATGCAGGGTTTCTTC